GATTACATCCTACGCCCTAGAAGACATCTCTCATCTTCTTTTCCATATTCCTACAAACATTCCCTATTCTTAAAAAAAAGAAAGAAAAGAAAGAACCTTTTTTCACCCTTCATTTTTTTTCTTTTCATTGCCAAGCTTTTTGAAAAAGTTGTTTACATATCATGCCTCCACTTCCACATCACTCTCTAACTTTAACTTGATGAAATCTGTCTTCTATCCTCTATACTACTGAAATTACTCACTAATGACCTTGTAATAGTAAAATTCATTCATAGCCTTTTTCAGTGCTAATCTTCCCTATACAGAATTTGACCCTGTTGACCACTCCCTTACTCCTCTAATTTTTTTCCCCTTTATTTTATGAGACACAACACTCTTCTGGTTGACTTTTCACCTCTCAAAAGCTTCTGATCTGTCTTCTGTGCTAGTCCCTTGCCATCATCCTGACTACTTCAGGTGTTTCCCATTGTTCTATCTGTGACTTTCTCCCTTCTTCTTCTTCTTCTTGTTCTTCCTCCTCCTCCTCCTCCTCCTCCTTCTTCTTCTTCTACTGTCTTATTCATTTATATGGCTTCAAATACCACTTCTGCACCCAGGATCACATCTCAAACTTTCTACAGGGCATCAAAATCAATATCTGATACTTCAAACTCAACATGTCTAAAATTGAAATTATTATTATCCTTTTTCTCCAAGTCTGCTTTTCCTCGTGTCTGGTCAATTTCTATCAGTGGGACCAGGCATCTAGTGTCCCATGTTTGAAACTTTGGTTTCACTTACCATTTCAGTCTTACTTCATATTCCTTCCTTTCATGAATTTGCTAATCCAGTTACAGGGGGGAAGGTATCTTGTCCCCATACACAACATTCTGTTTTGCCTCTGTACTTTTCCTCAAATTCAGGTCAGTCATTTCAGTCATGTCTGACTTTTTGTGACCCATTTGGGGTTTTCTTGGTAGAGATACTGAAGTAGCTTGCCATTTCTTTCTCCAGATTATTTTACAGATGAGGAAACTAAGGAAAACAGAGTTAAGTGACTTGCCCAGGGTTATATAGCTTGTAAGTATCTGAGACTGGATTTGAACTCACAAAGATAAGTCTTCTTGATTCCAAGCCCTATCCACCAAGCTATCTAAATGCCCTTCCGCAAATTATCTGGAATATATCCCCTCTCCCCCACCTAATTTCCTTTAAAGTAGTTCAGGTACCATCTCCTAAAGAGTCCTTTTCTGACCCTCCCCACAGTTGTTATCAAAACATTCTCCTCTTCCCTAAATCAGTTGATATTAATTTATCTGTTTACACATATTCCTCCAGTACAACCTAAGTTCTTTAAGAGCATGGATACTTTCATTTTTGCCTTTGTATTTCAAAATCTGGAACACTATAAGCACCTAAAAATAGGTATTGAATTGAATTGGCATTCTGCCTGACTCTGATGTCTGAAGAATACTGGGAATGATAAGGTGAATGGGAATCCTGTGATATAAGGAACATTAGAAGGAATTGGGGATAGTTAGTCTGGAGAAGAGAAAACTTAAGGAAGTATGATAGTTATTTTCAGATATTTAAAGGACTGTCTTGTGGAATTCCACAATAGAAATTTGAGACTAAAAGAGGAAAATGATTAAAAGATTAGTGCTCAATATAAGGAAGAGGCTTCTATAAATTTGGAAAATACCATGGATTTCTCATGAAGGAGTGAGCTCCCTATTACTGAATGTTTGATTAAACAATTAACCATGTATTAGAGGATGTTGTAAGAAGTTTCATGCTTCAAGTCAAAGTTGGGCTAAAGGACGTCTAAGGATTTCTTCCAATTTTAATTTTGTGATTTTATAGTCAATCAGTTACCAAGTTATGTGATTCTACCTTTCAAATCTGTCTCCTCCTCAATTACTACTTCTATAATCATCCTAGTAATGAATCCCTTTTAGATTGGATTAGATTAGAATGGCCTCTTCCCATCCTTAGAAACCCATATCAAATAATGCTTCCTCTAATAAGTCTTCTCTGAAAGGAAGGAGAAGAGACTGGGAGTAATGGCTCTGGTAGATGGATTAACCTCTTCCCCACCTTGGACACCACATAGCACTTTCTTTATACCTCTCTCCCTGATAGTTATTTGTGTATATGCCATATCCTCCTAGGGGAATGTAAGAGCCATAAGAACACCATCTAGGCTTTACCTAATATTAAATTCTTTCCCCCATCACCCATCACAGGGCTCTGCACACACACACTAGATGCCTAACAAACATTAAATCATTGAACTGAATTAAAGTTAACTGTCATATCTCTGAGTAATAATAATTATATTATTTATTATCCCTAACATCTGGTTTCAAGCTCAGGCTTAATTGAAGTCCAATTGAAGCTTTGCTTCTCATTCTCTTTTCTTTACTTTTCCTTGTCTACAAGCATTTTCATTGCTTTCTGATCAAGAAGGGACCCTAAAAATAAACAATTCTAATCTTGATTTTGCAGATATAGAAACTAGGGTCCCCAAAAGTTTTATTTTGCTTAAAGTCACACAGCTTGAAAAAAAAAAGGCAGAGCTGAGATTTGAACCTCATTATTCTGACTCAAATAAAATGCAAACTCCTTAGGTTTAGAGATTTTAGTTTTGTTTTTCTCTTAAATCCCCAGCACCTATGGTAGCACAGTGCCTGACACACAGTGATGCTTAACCATTGCTTATTGAATTGAATCAGCTCTACTCCAGATTCAGAACTCTGTTCATATCCCATGCTGCAATCCTTGGTGGATTGAAGGTGGGGAGATACAATAAAGAATACTACATAGGACTTCTGGAAGCCAAAATGACTGAATGAGCAGTAAATTGTTATAGCTCTCCCATATTCACCTCCAAACAACCATTTAAAAAAACCACCCTAGAACAAGTCCCAGAAGAGTAGAGCCATTGGAAAGATGGGGTGGAGTGGGCTTTTAGCCTAAGAAACTTGGAGGAACAACAAGAAAGGTCTGTCTCATTGTGGTAAAAGGGGAGCACAGTCCAGGATGGGAAGCATTCCAGCAAGCCAACAGCAAACCCCACCTCAACAAACCACTAGGTGATCCCGAGCCCTAGTGTAGTGGAGCAGGCATATATGAACACCAGGATACCCCAAGTGCCTTAGCAGGAGGTGGTAGACAAAAACAAAACAAAGATGAGGAAGGAAAGGGTAAAAGGAGAGAGGGGACAAACAGGAGGAAAAATGGGATGGAGGGAAATGCACAGTTAATAGTCATAACTGTGAATGTGAATGGGATGAACTCTCCCATAAGATGGAGGCAGATAACAGAGTAGATCAAAAAACAGAACCCTACAATATGTTGCTTACAAGAAACACACTTGATGCAGAGAAATACATAGTGTAAAGGTAAGGGGCTGGCACAGAATCTATTATGTTTCACCTGATGTAAAAAAAAAAATAAAGAAATAAAGGCAAGGATAGCAGTCATAATCTTAGGCAAAGCAGAAGCAAAAACAGACCTAATTAAAAGAGATAAAGAAGGAAACTACATCTTGTTAAAAGGTACCATAGACAATGAAGCAATCAAATTAGAAGAGCAGGGGGAAATCTACTTATCAGATCTATGAAAAGGGGAAGAATTCATGATGAAACAAGAGATAGAGAGCATTGCAAAATGTAGAATAGATAATTTTGATTACATTAATTTAAAAGCTTTCATACAAACAAAATCAATGCAACCAGGATTAGACGGAAAGAAGAAAGCTGGGAAACAATCTTTACAGCAAGTGTCTCTAATAAAGGTCTCATTTATCAGATATATATAGAGAGGGAATTGAGTCAAATTTATGAGAATACAAGCCATTCTCCAATTGATAAATGGTCAAAGGATATGAACAGTCAATTTTCAGATGAAGAAATCAAAGCTATCTATAGGCATATGAAGAAGTGCTCTAAATCACTTTCAATTAGAGAAATGCAAACTAAAACAACTCTGAAATACCACCTTACATCAGATTGGCTAATATGACAAAAAAGGAAAATGTTAAATGTTGGAGAAGATGTGGGAAAATTGGGGCACTGTGAACTGATCCAACTATTCTGGAAAGCATTTTGGAACTATGCCCAAAGGGCAACCAAACTGTGCATGCCCTTTGATCCAGTCATACCACTACTAGGTCTGCATCCTAAATAAATCACAAAAAAGGGAAAAGGACCCACATATACAGAAATATTTATAGCAGCTCTTTTTGTGGTAGCAAAGAATTAGAAATTGAGGGGATGCCCATCAGTGGGGGAATGGTTAAACAAGCTGTAGTATATGAATGTAATGGAATACTAACGTTATTTTTATAAATGATGAACAGGCAGATTTCTGAAAAACCTAGAAAGACTTGTACAAACTGATGCAAAGTAAAGTGAGCAGAACCAGGAAAACATTGTACATAGTATCAGCGATATTGTATGATTATCAACTATGAATAACTCAGCTTTTCTCAGCAACACAATGATCCAAAAAAAGCACAAAGGACTCAAGGAAAGGAAAATATATCCATATCTAGATAAAGAACTGATGGATTCTGAATGCAGATTGAAACATTTTTTTTTTCACTTGCTTTGTTTTTTTGGTGTTTTTTATTTCTTTTGATCTGTTTCTTCTTCCACAACTGTAATGAATAAGGAAATATGTTCTACATAATAGCACATGTACAAACTATGTCAAACTGCCTACCCTTTTCAGAAGAAGGAGAAAAATTTAGAATTCAAAATCTTGTAAAAATGAATGCTAATTCCTCCCTTCCCTCCATGTACCTCTTAAAAATTACTTTTGTATATATTTTACATTTATTTTTCTGTATACACAGTTTCCCCCAACTGAATGTAAACTCCTTGAGGGAAAATATTATTTTATTTTTGTCTTTGCACACTTCAGCATCTTACACACTGCCAGTCATATACAATATTAGATATTTAAATGCTTATTGAATGAATGAATGGAAACCATGCCTCTCTGCTTTCTCCTAGGTTTCCATCTCTATCACAAGCTTCCAGGTCTTATGCCAGAGAGCTGTCTCCTGATCATTGTTGGTGCTCTTGTGGGGGGTATCATCTTTGGCACTGATCACAAATCTCCACCTGTAATGGATTCAAGCATTTATTTCCTGTACCTCCTTCCACCTATTGTCCTCGAAGGGGGTTACTTCATGCCCACCCGGCCCTTTTTTGAGAACATTGGCTCCATCCTATGGTGGTCCGGGATGGGGGCCCTCTTGAATGCCTTTGGCATTGGCCTCTCCCTCTACCTGATATGCCAGGTCAAGGCTTTTGGCCTCAGTGATGTCAACTTGCTTCAGAATCTGCTCTTTGGGAGTATGATCTCTGCGGTGGACCCAGTGGCAGTGCTGGCAGTATTTGAGGAGGCTCATGTGAATGAGCAGCTATACATGATGATCTTTGGAGAGGCCCTGCTCAATGATGGGATAAGTGTGGTAAGTTGCAGGGGATGGGAATATTGAGTGAGGGGTTAGCAATAATTGGGTATCCATAGGGCTAATTGAGATGATATGTTCCCAATTGGCCATTATGGGAAGCATGACAGGTTTCAGATTCAATGGTGTATATGATAGATTATGGTGATTTTAATTAGTGTCTGCATTACTTGCTTGATAGCTTACTAATTCTACTTGTCATTTGGTAGACTAAAAAATAACATAACAAGTAGCTCTGTAGTTAAATTCAATTTTCCACTTAGCATGCAGAAATTGTTGCTAAGGGCTCTTCTGGGCTTTCACACTGTGGAAGAAGCAATAGTTAAAGGGTTTTATCCTCCTGTTTTATCCTTCTTGTTTCCAAAAGAATTGAGTTAAATGAATATTACTTTGATGGCAGAAGACTGGGGAGTAGGTTTTTTTTCTTTTTAAATAATAGCTTTTAAATCACTCCCAATTGGGTGACTAACCATGGAATAGGTACAAATGTAGCTTTTTATAAGAGAAAAACTAATGTTGGAAAAAGAACACTGGATTAGGAGCAAAAGATCCTGAGTTAAAATTCTTGTTCTGATGTGTTCTACCAGTATGGCCTTAAACAAATCACCTAACTTCTGTGGGCCTCAGTTTATTCTATCTATAAAGTTAGATTAGATGACCTCTCTGGTCCCTTACATAACTTTAAATCTTGTAATCCCATATTAGCTACATTCAGGTAAAGAAGAGGGGGAAATTTACTCAGAGGACAAGTCAATGCAATTAATTTATGGTCCAAATTCCACTTGGGAGCTTGGAGTCATCTAGATAGGTCTGTATTATCTAATTTGACCAGGGAGCAAAATCCTTCAATAACCGTGTAGGAGTGGCTATAGACATTTTTCTTCTTATCTGAGAAAAATTTAGACAGAAATGCTACTGGCCAACATTTTGATAGCATCATTTGCTTTATTGTTTTTGTTTTTGTAATCTCCGGCATTCTTTGGGCCAGAATTATATAGGATGAGTTGGTCTGAAGGCATTGTCATCTGGATGGGTGGTAGGAGCCACTGACGGACTCGCAGACTCACCAAAAATATCTATGGTCTATTTATGTTCCTATAACATGTGCAATTTATAGCTCTCATACACAACCACTTCAGCATGAGCCTTTTTCCACACATTCTGTTATTATTCATTTCATCTGTTCTTAGTGGGTGACCGAGGCTATTTGGGAACTACTTTACAAATACATTTTTGTTCTTAAATTCTTTCAGAAGCTCTGTTTGCCCACTGCCTGATACATCTAGTTCTCTTGTGGTTGGTCTCAATTATTTCACCAAACATAGATTTATTCTTTATTAGCTTTTGCAGTACCTGGGAAATGGTATGGTTCAGTGGAAAGAGAACAAGACTGGGAGTCATAAATGTTGAGGGATGGTCCTGGCTTTTGCCACTAAGGATATGTGTGACCTTGGGCACATGATGAAAATTTTGTAGACTGTGGTTCCCTTATCTATAAAATGAGGTGGCAGATACCTGTAATCCCTGCTACTGAGGAGGCTGGGGCTAGTGGACTGCTAGTGGACTCAGGAGTCCTGAGCTGCAATAGGGCTCAAGCTGATTAGATATCCAAACTAGTATCTATCTGACACCAATATTGTCAGTCTCTAGCAGCGGAGGCAAGCAAAGAGTGGCAAACAGGCTCAGGCTGGAAATGGAATAGGTCAAAGCTTCTGTACTGATTGCGCTGAAATCAGGTGCTTGAGTGACCACTGCACTTTTAGCTAGGTGGGATATAAGGACCCAGTCTAAAAGAAAGAAAGGAAGGAAGGAAGAAAAGAAAGAAGAGAAGGAGGAAAGAAGGGAGAAATAAAGAGGGAAGAGGGAGAAAGAAAAGGAAGGAAGGAAAGAAAGAAGGAAATGAGAGAAAGTGTGAGAAGGAAGGAAAGAAGGGAAAGGAAAGAAAGAGAAAAAGAAAACAAAGAAATGAAGGAAGAAAGTAAAAAAGAAAATTATGCAAATGATTAGACAACCTCTAAGTCAGGACTTCTCTAATACAGTTCTAAAAATAAGTAAATATATTTTCATAAAGCCATTTGAATAAAAACTGAACTCCATGTCTTTAAGTATTGCCTAGATCTCTCTTCTTTAAAAAAAATTGACATCTTTTATTTTTCTATCACCTTAATTTCTGAATATATCTTTTCTCCCTCTTCCACCCAGTAAGCCATCCTTGTTACAAAGAATAAAAAGGAAAAAAAATAAGTCTCATATCAGCTGAGCCTAATAGTAGGTGTAATGTTCCACACCCATAGTGCTCCACCTCTGCCAAAATGGAGGAGGCCCTATTTTATCTGCCTGGCCCATAGCAAGCACTTAATAAGTGCTTTATCTTTTGGAGAGTTGTATTTCAATTCTTCACCCCTGCCAATGTAGATCAAAACTTCTTAATGACTTAATTGGTAAAATTCAAATTTTTGTGGCTGAAAAATTCATCACCCTGAGGTCAGCTTGATAATTAGCCTCTCCAATATTAACTGGTCTCCAGAAAACAAACATGCAGTCCCCTACCAGGTGCAATTATAAAACTTTTCTCATTTGACAGGGTCTGGCAAAGTTTGTGGTCCACTGGCAAAATGTTTGAGACCTCAGGGACACTTCCATGACCTATGTGTATACACACACACACACACACACACATATGTGTATATATATATATATATATATATATGTATATTATATATATACACACACACACATATACATATATATATAATAAGGTAATAACTATAAAGTTATAATAACTCATAGAAATGATTTGTATCTATGGTATCCAGCCATAGTTTTATGGTACCTTTTATGGAGTCACTGATACATTATCTCTGTGGTAAATTTACAGAACAGAAACCATTAATTGTATACTGGGCCACTCCTATTACCCTGACTAAACAAAACCAATCGGACTCTCAGAATCAGGTTTAGAATACAGATTGTGGTCAGGGCTAAATCAAACCCTCCATTTGTGTTTTAAAAGTCAACATACTAAAGAGTCATATCTATTAAGGCAAAGGGCCTCTTTGAGTATCACAGAAACTGCTTTTGCTCTTTTGGCTGGAATAGAGAAAGCAAAAGCCATTGAAAGGCAGTGCATTCTCAATTTGGGATGATAAATGGGGCAACTATGTAGAGTCATGCTCAAAACCACTGAAGCAGAACAAAAGAAAACCTTTGCCAAACTGGAAAGGGCTCTAGGCAAGGTCCAGAAATCCATGGGCTCAAGAAATGAAAAGGACTTTAGAGATAACAGTGACTATCTTTGCCCTCACTCTTTGAAAGCCAGATATGTTATATTTCTCCCTTCCCCCAGGGTTCTCCAGTACCCTTAATGGAATTTGGGGTGTTTAGTCACTCTGCCATTGACTCAAGACCCCACCATTTTGTGTTCCTCCAATTTTAGGGGTCCCCCAGTTCCATTTAGTGGCAACAATCAGATTAATTTTACAAAGGAACATTTACTTCAAGGTACAGCAAGAACAGACCTACATATATCCCCCTTACCCCATAACATCTAGGGACATAATAACCTTTTACACCACCTCAGTCTAGAGAGTGGAGGGATGGAGCATTAGTTGTTGAGACTATATAGCATGGTGCCACCAAGTTCCAACTGCAAAGTCCTACTGCGATTGTATCCATATCCCAGCATTGTGGCTTCTCCAATCTTCTCTTCTGGGTTAGAAGCAACATCCAGCCTAGAATACTGCTCCCAAAATCACCATGGCTTGAGTATTCAGGTCCAGGGACTCCATCACCTGTGTCTATAACTGAAAAGGCCAAATGAGATAGACCGAAACCCCAAGCGTGATTCGCAGGGTCAAAGGGCCTAAGGTAGAGAGGGAAGATAGACATTCTCCCCCATCCAGCTCAATACACGGTATGTGAATTTCAGATGAACAGGACCTTCATCTCTTAGATACTGCCAGAAAAAAAAAAATGAGACTATCTGAGTCTGGTAGTTTTAAAGATGTAACCTGTTCTGGCTACACAAACAGTGGGAAAAGGCTACTCTTACACATGTAGTAGGGAAATGTAGTAGGATGTCTTATCCCAGTATCAGGATCTTGCAATCTTTCTCATGGATGCCTTCATCTCAAATGATTTGGGCATGTGCCTTGAAGTTACACTATAAATAAATCTAGTCCCACCTCTTGTTTTAGAATTGTAGAGACTGAGGCCTACAAGGCTTCTTAGAATCATAGACTTAAGAGTCAGAAGGAACCTCAGAAGTCTTCTAGTTCTCTCCTCCCCCCTCCCCAGCCACAAACTTTTTTTTTTCTTACAGTTAAGGAATCTGATGCCTAGAAAGTGACTTGCCAATAAACACACAGCTAACAGGCTTCAGATTTGGGATTTTAATCTGGATCCTTTCTCTCCAAATCCAGTGATCTTTCCACCATACATTTGAAATTTATTTCCTCTCCTTGTTACTATCCACCGAAAGGTGTAAGCCTTTACCTTACTTGTAAGACATGTTGCCTAATTTGGTCTGGACCCATGATTTTATTTGACTATGTGACTTGAATAATTCCCAAATAAATACTTAAATGTCATGCAGAACTGAATTTCTTGGCATTAAAATGTGTTGTTCAGTCATTTTTCAGTCGTGTCTGACTCTTTGTGACCCCATTTGAGGTTTTCTTGGCAAGATTCCAGAGTGGCTTGTCATTTCCTTCTCCAGATCATTTTACAGGTGAGGAACTGAGGCAAACAGGTTTAAGTGACTTGCCCAGGGTCATATAGCTAGTAAGTGTCTGGGACCAGATTTGAACTCTAGAAGACGAGTCTTCCTGACTCCAGGTTCCACACTCTATCCACTGCACCATTTGGCTGCTCTACAGCATTAAAATTATGTGTATTTAGAAACAACATATGTTACAACAAGTGGCTCTTATTGTGCCTTATTTCTCCACCTCTGTCCCCATCTCATTGTATTTTTGCCTTGAGTCTGCCTTTCCTACTTA